CTGGGAAGGATCCCAGAGGGCTCAATCAGAACCCAGAGATCCCTCTTCGGTCGTCTTGGGGCTCTCTTAGGCTTTCCCTAGGGCCATCGGAGAGGGCCAGGACGGCTCCAGGACAGCTTCAACAGGGCCGCCGGAGAGACGCAATTAAGACCACCCGGGAGGCTTCTGCCAGGTGATCTCGCGGCGGGAGACCGAGAGTTATGAGGATGTCTCATGCGAAAGTGGCCTGAACAGGTCAGCTCTACGCGTCTCGGAAGCCACTGTTTCGAGGATGTCGCAGGCGACAGTGGCCGGACCGCCATGGGGCAGGGCACCTCCGAAGTCAGAAGTGCGAGGGCGCCTCAGGCGCAAGTGGCCTGAACACCGCATCTCGGGGAATATCGGGGGTCAGACTACGTGAAGGCAGGGCGCGTCCCAGGTCAACGCTGCGAGTTTTTGTGTAGGCGGAACTGGCCAGCACAATTTGGGGCAGGGAAGAATATCAGAGGTCAGCGTTGCGAGGATGTCTCAGGATGAGGATGAGGAAGGTCATGCTGATGATAATGATGGCGATGGCGGCAGCCGCGCGGGAGGCAAAATCTGGCGGGGCAAATTTCGGCGGGAAGCAAGTGCGAGGATGGCTCAGGCGATGGTGGCCAGATTACTTCAACTCAAAGAATATCGGACCCCAGAATATCGGAGAGATGAGACGTGGACCCGGGGTGGGGGACCCACGCAGCCTGGCTATCACACCAAATGCCCGCCGCCATGTCCTGGTTTTCGCACCACATGCGGGCGACGAAATGCCCAGCCAGATTTCGTGTTCGACGAAGTCCTCATACGTGCCCACGCACCCCCCGAGTACTCTGAGCGCCCGAGCTGGCTTAGTCCAGTCCTTCATCGGCGTAGGCTGGAACTGGTTGTACAGCGTGCCCATCGCGCAACCCATGCTGAGCCCCCCGTTGAGTTCGCCAAGGAATATGACGCGCATGTTGTTGGTCGATGCCATGGTGCACATGTCGACTAGGTCGAGGTCCCCGCGCCTGCCCGTGTGAGCCTGCGGGTCGATTGGTCCCGTAGTCGACACTCGTGCCACAAGAGCGTCGCCGTCCTGTAACGGCTGAAGCTCCCCGTTGGGTCCCACATGTGGTCTCGTTGGCTGATGCCCTGGAATGTGGCCGAGCGTCGCCCGCGCCGCCGGCGTGGCTCCTGGTGCGATATGCTCAGACTGCCGACATATGCTGACAACCGTACCTCCAGGAACTTGACCTGCAATCGCTTCGAGGACTAACGTTTCGTAGAAGCGGCACCTCTCCGTGCGAGTTGGTTGTCTGCCCGAGTACTTAGTCATCAGCTGCTCGAGGCATGCGAAACGCTCGACCGGCGGCCACGCGCGCCCATGGATCAGAAGAGCCGGCTTCTCTTGGGCCACATCGACGTCGTGCAACTCGAAACTGTTGAGAGGCAATATCACGGCGCCAAGCTGTCGCAACGCTGGCCCATTATGCTGTTCCACGAGATTTGTAGTCAAGTCCGACACGGTCCAATATACTAGTGCGTATGGCCTCGCCCGACTGGTGACGCCAGCCACTCTCGCCTGAATGTCAGCCGAGGCTGCCGCGCCGTCGCCCTGCATGGAACCAGGAGCCAAAAAATGGCACTACGCTGCTCGGGCCCCTGGTGCTGAGGCGGAGGGCGAGGGGCCCCTCGCCCCCGTCGTCCTGAGGGCGCTCGGCGTCTGGGCCCTCGCCAAAATGCCCCGCCAGATTTCGCTCCCCATAATGCCCGCCCTCTCGCCGGGGGGGGGGGGGGGGGGGCGCGGAGCTGGGACAGGGAAGGCCCTCGCCGTCGCGAGGCAGCCACCAATGAATCCACTCCCGCTGCCCCGCTGCGCGAGTGTCGCGGTCAGCTCTCGCCGCCCAACTACCACAGCTCCCGCCGCGCAAACGGATTCGGGATCTGCAGCTTTCGCCGCAGCTAGGGCTACCGCGCAGCTTACGCCACAGCAAAAACGGATGGTGATGGTGATGATGTTGATGATGATGATGATGCTGATGATGATGATGATGCTTTTGATGATGATGATGTTGATGACGGTGATGCTGATGATGATGATCTTAAAGCTGAGGGCGGCGACGATGATGATGATGCTGATGATGACAATAAGGAGGAGGAGGAAAAGGAGGAGGAGCAGGGGGAGGATCAGCAGGATGAGGAGGAGGAGGAGGAGGAGCAGGAGAGGGGGAGGGGGGGGAGTGAGGCGAGGACGGGGAGGAGGAGGAGGAGGAGGAGGAGGAGGAGGAGGAGGAGGAGGAGGAGGGGGGAGGGGGGGGAGGAGAGGGGGGGCGGAGGACGGGGATGATTGATGAGGATGAGGAGGAGGAGGAGGAGGAGGAGGAGGGAGGGGGAGGAGGAGGGGACTGATGATGATGATGAGGAGGCGGAGGAGGACATGATGAGGAGGAGGGGGGAAGGGAATATAGAGGAGGGGGAGGGAGGGAAAGGGGGGGGAGAGAGAGGA